TATTTGGGTACTCCACATTGGTATCTGTTTTCTAGGTCTAGCCTTTACAGTAGTACTGTCCAAGATCTATGTTACCTCTCTACTTGTATCTTTCCAAGTGGGCTTCTTGTTCTCTAATTTTTACAGATTTATACAGCCACAAGAACTTATTTTGGGTTTGTACTGCCTGATGCTGGTTTGCATTCCTCTGTATAACCAATTACACAAATGCCTCATGACCTGCCAGTCATGCTGGTGTGACCATAATTACAGGTATCTTAACTCAATCATTAGAAACAGTTGCTATAATACAAATATTATATAGGTAATTATCCAAATTTTCACCATTCGTAGGTTTTGAACTCACAACCTACCACTTGAAGGGTTAACAACTTATCCACTTCACTAAGTTGCCACACCTTTGGTATTAATATTTATTCATTTAATCTATATTACTGAAAGAAAAGAATACAAAAATAAATTATATTGGGCCATTTGAATTGATAGTTTGATCAAAATCTGCTAGTTCTAAGTTGTAATTAGTAAGAGATAATAAATAAGATACTAAAAAGATAAGTACTAAGATTTTAATAAACTTAACAAGAATAAAAATAATGTAATATAATAGTTAAACAGATAACTTTTATAACTGTAAGTGTTAGATAACTATAATATGTTATATAAAATTAGATTAGCTGTATGTAAGATATAGTAGGTTCTAGTAAGTTTTTTGTCAAGAATAAAATAGTTTTAAGAATATTGATAAGTATTAAGAACTTAAATAAGTGACATTCTGAAGATGTTCTTATGATACAAGATAGATTGTATATACAGAAGATTTAAATAAACAAAACCTCTAGCTGGCTTGTAAGTATAACATCTAGTGTAAAACTTATATAGTAATATATAAATAGACTACTTAAATTAAGTACCAAAAGTATATATATAATTAGTTGTAACCTTTAATGTAAAAGACTTCTAAAAACAACTTATGTCTTATAAATTTGAATAAAAATATTATATCTAGAAGTCTGCAATTTAAGCTTATGCTTATGCCTAACAAAAAATTTAAATATAGGTATAGGTACAAAAACTTAAACATAAGTATAAACATAAATACAAAAAATTAACATGAACATAAACATAGATACAAAAATTGAATATTTATTATTTAATTGTGCCTAGTACTTTGTCTAACACTTGTGCTTAACACCTTGTACTTAGCAGTTTGTGTCTATGCTTTTAATCATGCCTGGTACTTTTGTGCCTATAAACACAGACATGACATAAGGCACTAATGCCTGGCCTGGTACCAATGTGTCAAACATAAACATTTGCAAACTTCTAATCACATTTTAAAAATAAGGACTTCAACTTAAAAAAAAAAAATTTTATTATTATATTAAAATTTTATAAAATATAATTTAAAAAATTATATTTATATATATCTTAAATATTTTCTGAATGCTCAATGTTTTTCTCTGATTATACAAAAAGATCAACTTTAATTAGTTAATTTTTGAAAAACTATAAAAGAATTTTAACAATAAATTTTTATATCTAATCTTTAAAAATTCATATATTAATAAGTTTTAAATATTATGAAATTTATTATAACTGTTTCTGAAAGTGAAATTTTCGAAAATCGGTTTCCGCAACACTCATATATATTTGATTGGGGATTTGGCGTTTTATAATAATAGATCCGGATTTTTTACCCTTAATTAAACCATCCACCCGCTACTTCTACAACACCCCTCTCCGAACAATATATGCCATTTACAGTACTCGTTAACGATGGCAAGGTTTATGAGTTACTAATTTTATGAGGTATGAGATGCACGTTAATAAGGTCAGACCAATTTAATTCTTCGTTTAACACAATCCCCCCTCTATTTTATGAAAAAATACACATAACATTACCCAATCAAATTTCAGTATTAGCAATATTTCATATTGTTTACAGCTAATAGAATTACTGTATTTTTAATGTTATGTTAAACGAAGAATCGATTTAGAGGCCTAAGTTCCTTAAAGGTATTCGCTTTATTTGATTATCGTTATCAGTATTGTTGAAAAATAAAAGTTTCATGTTATTATTACCGATGTGTAAACTTTTTGTATAGATTTTACTAACGGTAAGGAAAAAAATATTACATAATTTTAAAATAGCAAAACATATTACAAAATAATTGTAGCAATAAAATCTATATCGATATGAATAAAAGGTTATCCAGTGATCAGAAACAAATGTTTTTTATATCCTTCGACTCATCTTGGTGAGACAAATTGAATGGCATGAGAATCATTAGACTCTAGTGATAGACCCAGTGTTAGCTTCTATATTATGTAATCTACCACGTTGCCCATCCCGTCATATCACACCCTTTACCTTGTAAAAGTTAAAAAGCATATTAAGAAGTTATTCAGAAGATCAAAAATCATACATCCTAAACAATTCATTTTTATTAAAATACTCTGATACATATGTGTACAAGCGGAAACGAAGTTTCTGCTAATACTCAATGCCTCAGAATACTTTCATTACATATATAGTTCTGAACCAAACCAGATTTAACTTAGGTTTGGAACTTATTATATAAAAAACCGATTCTTAGGTTTTCAATTTGGATCTTAAAAGTTTTTAGAAGCCTAAGCCAGCTTTACCATCTCTAGTCTTCGAGCAAATTCTAGTAAAAAAGGGCCAATGTTGACTGCATCCAATTGATCTTCATCTTTGTTTAATAATCTATTGAAAATCGGCAAAAGTACTTTGTGAATCGATTCAACTTGGTCTCTTAAATCTTTATTAAGATCAGTAACATCTTTATGCTCCATTTTCTTAGCTTCTGACAGAGCTTTAGAACTTTGAACTTGTGATCCTGCTACCGCTTGTTTTTCTGTAAGCTGACGATCAGTGATGGCAAGGGATTTCAATTCCATTTCTTGTTCTTTGTATTGTATGGCATCAAAGTTGATATGAAAACAAGGATATGATAAAAAGGGACAAAGAATTTGGTGAAATCACAGGAAGAAACTCTCAAATTTGATTATTTTACCTTCGTGAAACTGTGTAAACTGTTCTGAGAAAATTGGAAATGGCACATCTAATTTCTGTATCTCATTATCTAATAATAAATATTAAAGGCCAAGATAAGATAATAATATCGGTCAAAGACAGAAACTAATAATTTGAACGATGATCTCCCATACCGAGAGCAAAAATTTGAGCTTGGGAATTCGGTATAGGAGGCGGACAAGACTAAGTGATGAAAAAAAAAACAATACACTTTATTCTATCATGAATTATGAATGTTTTTATGAAATTCGCAAGCTACATACATCAAAGTTAGACTGAAGTATATCATTTAACAGGTGAGAATTTGACTTTCTACCATTCAAAGTTTGATTATGCCCGTTATTCAAACCATTAACTCGAGCAGACCTATGATCTGTACTGTTGGTAAACTGTGACAAATTGCAAGTATCGTCATTTGTCGCTGAATCTTGACCATTGAGATCAACGGACGCATCACTATCTATAAACCAAGGTTTGTAAAGTCAATAGCGACTTAGAGAGCAGATACACAAAAAAAGAACTTATTTACTCTCAGAAACATATTCTTCAGAAGTATCACTATTGTCTTCCACATAGTCTTTGTCATCAAGAACAAACTCCTTGTCTGAATCTTCTGAATCGTCAGCCAGATCAGCAAACAACCAATCTTTGTCCATGTAATTCTTTATGTTTATTACTCAAACATTTCAGGGTTTATCGTTTATATATCACGAGAAAATCGTTTATGTCAGAAAATCTCTTAATGTTGGCCAAAAAGTCATAATTTAGGCCGGAATTATTGTTTATAATAATTTTTATTTTTTTACCAATAAGCTCACCGGATCTCGTGTAACCAAAACAAAGCGAAGATAAAGAAACCAGCTTTTGACTTCTAAGCAGTCATATTTTACATATATCTAAACCATTTTAATCTAACTTAAAGCCAACCCTAACCCCTAACCTTAAATTTATTTTACTTGTAATAAAAATCTATAATACCGGGTGATATCACCTAGGGTAAAAATTAGTTATAATCTTTTATTTATTTTTTTAAAAAATTTAATGCCATAATCACGTGACGCATGATGATTAAATATACTTGATTTAACAAATCCGATAAATTTGTATACTAAGCATCACCTAAGTATTCCATAACTGAATTGTAACCTCTTGCTAAAGCAAGATGTTTCAAAATCCCTGTTGCAGGAAGTCCTTTTTTTCTTCTGCAAAATGAGCAATTACATACGCCTCGGCATTTTGGACAATTCCATTCTCCAGAACTTCGTGCTTCTTCCAACGTTTCACCATATCTTTATATAAATTAAATAAATTTTATGCTGAATATTTTCAAAAAGAAATACAGAAATATTACCTTCCAATTAAACACCGTTCGTCCATCATCACTTTACAGAGCATTCCATTTTCTAATACATTCTATAAAGTAATCGAGATATGAATACGTGTTATCTTTGTTGCGTTCGTTGTATTTCATGATCTTACCGTGCATTGTACTTTTTCTTCAATGGTTTTTTGTCTACATTGATGACAGGTTGATCCTATTTCTGAATCATAGATTCTACCGCCATAAAATCTACGTCCTTGATTATTTCTTCCTAACACTTTATATTTGGGCTTGTCACGTGATATAAATACGAGAACCATCATTAGTTTCCATAGTTTTCCATAATGCATGATTTTCTTTATTATTTTAAGCTTTACCTTTGAGGATTTTGAAACCTTAGGACGAATGACACGTCGTAAAGTAGATGGGGCATAAATGGGTTGATAGCTTTTGACGCGTAAATTATACCTTGGTTTCTATTAAAGTCATATTAGTTATATTTACTTAAACTCTCGCTTGACTTTGTGATTATATAATTAACATACCATTTGCTGTATTCTCGGACTCTTACGCGAAGGTGTTCGAACATGTTCTTCTTGTTGAGATTCCTCTGAATCAATTTGGCGTCTAGACGGTCTTTTAGGTTTGGGAGGTGAAAGGCTAAAATTAATAAGGCCGAGCTTTGCTAGTAAGGCCCTATTTTGTTCTATGCGTTCTAGTCTTTCTCTTTCATAGGCTTCTCCCACCTTTT